ATTCTAGTTTGATTGGTAGTTTGCTTTTGCTAAGTACAAGAATTATTTCATGTTAAAAATAATTAATTTTGAATTGAGTACTTAAATTATTCATCACTATTTGATTCAATTATCATCAATATATCTTGGTAAATGATAGATTTCTCAAAGAATAATTGATTTGATAGTGTTACGTTGAAAATGTAGTCGCCGGAATATGTGTTTGGTAGTATATGTCTCGTAATAAGAAAAAACCCGATAAATAACCGAAAAAACTAAAAACTCGATAAAAACCGACAAAAAGCGAATCGCTAAAAAACCGACTTAATTGATTTGGTTTGGTTTCAACATTTTAAGAACCGACTTACTTGGTTTAGTTTTTTTTTTAGGAAAAACCCGAACCATGAACACCCCTAATCTTTATATTGAGAACAAGTAAATGGTATCTTTTTCCTGAACCTAAAGGACAAAGAAGAAGAAAATTAAAGTGGAACCAAGAGATATATATTACATGTACGTAGAAGTTACATCAATAATTTTCACATAATGGAACAAGCATTTGGATTGTCGTCACTGAAGAGGTAAGTAATCGTATGTTCCTCTGCATTTGCCTGCGGAACATTTTTAACAAAACCAGCAGGAGCTTTTTTGTCATAAGCTTGAGCTACGTATGGATAAGAGACAAGATCATAAGAGGCATACGGCCAGAATATTGCCATTTTCCCAGTGCTCTTTACTCTCTTCAGTACTTTGTTTGGATCAATATGACCACTCACTGTTATCCTGTTTTGCTTTCTGTTCACTTCCACTGTTTTCAAACCTGAAATCCAATGCAACTTGAGTTTTTTTCATTTCAGAGGATAAAGTTTGGGTTTAATCAGCAGTCTTTATTTCTAACAAAGAGTTCATGTTTTAGGCACTAGTAAATGTTTATGATAAAATAAATTGGTAATTTGGGAAAATAGTAACTAACCTCTTATTATAGAATCAAATTCATTAATAATATAAACAATATTAACATTATATATGTATAACTTAAATCCTTTGACAAAAGAAAAGGGACAAATTCTATATGTTTATGGACAATGGACATAAAACGTTTATTCGTTATATGACTTGAGACCAATAAGCCTCCATTTTAAGAGCCTCTTACTAGACCTTCTTTGCATCAGTATTATAACTCAAATTATAAAATCAAAATAGCGTACATCCAACGGCAGTTTGAATTTGACTTTTGTTTTTCACCGCAGTGAATTTAGAAGACCATAAACTTTAGAAGCGATTTTATTTGTATTCTTAATATTTAAACGTTAAACACATCTTATATTCATGAAGAGAGCTTTATACTTTAGAGTAAAGAACCTTTTATACTGTTAACGGCATTCTTGACTTTCCTTTCACATCCATCACAGTCCATTTTCACTTTTATCTCTACTGTCTGCCAAGATAAAAATCAGAATTTGTCAATATCACAAAAATTTAAACCAAGAATGACCAAAGAGAAAAAGAGAAAAGAAAAAAATAATAGCGAGAAAAGAGTACAAAAAAAGGATTTACCTGCATGGGTTTCCTATTGGTTCTTGTGTTAGTGACAGTGCAAAAGTTTGATAGAAAGTGAAGAGCACCCATCTTCTCCTAGCTTCCCTTTACTTTAGAGGAAAGATGTGCATGCAACGAAGAGGCGATGAAAATGAGGGAAGAGGAATTTGGGGGTGCAGAAGATTAGTGTGGAGCACAATTGTGACACCATTGGTAGGGTATTATTCCTTATTTATTTGTACATATGTTAATTTGGGAATTTGTTGTAAAAGTTCTTCTATGATTGCTTCTTTCTTTCGTTCGATAGATTCGGCTATGCCTTTTCATTCGTTTATATATCAATTATCAGACGATGCAGACAATTATTGCCTTCTGGTGTAGGTTGATTATCTTATGTGCATAGGATTATAATTATTAAATGTATGGATATAAACATTCTTTTGTTAATTTGTTTGTGATCAAACGTAGCTTCTCATGGATGATGAGTAGCCGAAAGGTGATTATCCACTTTGAGATATCAACGATGTTAAAAAAAATTATTTAATAACCAAAAGAAAATGTTAGACAATGTCGTGGTTCAGTCAATGAAATGAATGATAATCTTCGAAAACCAAGGTTAAAATTCCAACAAGAATAAATGTTAGCTTATTTTCTCCCATCTACCTAAAGTTTTGGTGGACAAATTTGTTATTCGATACTTGCGTTGGTAAGAAATTGTAGTATCCGATGAATAATCGAGATGTATGCAAAATTACAAACCGGTCCACATAAAATCACTATAAAAAATAAAGGGAAAAGGTTACAAGAAAAGAAAGAATTGACTTTAATGTTTGTCCCGATTCTCCAATTGCACTATATTCGTAAGACGGGGTTGGTAGGAGGGAATAAAACGTAAAAATTACCGGGGGCATGGTCGCCACATTTAATCTATACTCATTTTTTTTAAAAGTTTTATATCTTGAACCTACTTTTTAAATAATTTTAGGCTTCTTTCTCCTCCCCCTCCTCCTCCTCCTCCTCCTTCTCTTTCTTCTTCTTTTTCGGGTGACAGTGATTTTATATGGTGGTTGTGAACATATTTTAATGTAGTTTATGATGTTTTAAAATAGTGAGTTATTATAACACTTTATTTTTTACTATTGCTTAGGGTTTCTTCTTCTTCTTTTTCGGGTGACAGTGATTTTATATGGTGGTTGTGAACATATTTTAATGTAGTTTATGATGTTTTAAAATAGTGAGTTATTATAACACTTTATTTTTTACTATTGCTTAGGGTTTCTTCTTCTTCTTTTTCTTAATTACAAAATGGGTTCATTAGATTTACTATTATTTTGACAAATTGATGGTTGGGGTTTGTTCCTGATGATATTTTGGAGTTATGTTTTAAAATTGAGCCCATTTGGAGCAGATTTAGGTATTAAATCATATATTGGATTGTTATTAGTCAAATAACAAATTTCTGTTTCTGGGTTATTTGCACTTCAGGCCTATTTGGTCTTAAGTGCATAAAAACGTTGGTTGCACTTTAGACCTTTTGGCTTTAAGTGCATCTGAAGTGCATTTTTTCACTTCAAACTTATTGGCCTTAAGCGTAGTAAAACGTTTGTTACACTTTAGACTTTTTGGCCTTAAGTGCATCTGAATTGTAATTTTTCACTTCAGACTTATTGGTCTTAAGTGTAGCAAAACGTTTGTTACACTTCAGACCTTTTGGTCTTAAGTGTATCTGGAGTACAATTTTTCACTTCAGACTTATTGGCCTTAAGTGCATGAAACCATTGGTTACACTTCAGATCTATTTGGCCGTAAGTGTATCTGAAGTGTAAATTTTAACTTCAGACTTTGTGGCCTTGAGTGAAGAAAACGTTTGTTGCACTTCAGACTTTTTGGCCTTAAGTGCATCTAAAGCGCAATTTTTCACTTCAGACTTATTGGCCTTAAGTGCATATGAAGTGCAATTTTTCACTTCAAACTTATTAGCATTAAGTGTATGAAATCATTGGTTGTATTTCAGACCTATTTGGACGGATTGATAACCGGAAGTAGGATTGATAACCGGAAAGAGAACAAAATAACTTTTGACAACCAATTATTTAATAGCATAAAAATTACTATTTATTATGATTAATTCTTTTATAACGTAAACAAAATTATTATGATTAATTTGTACTTTTTTCAATTCAATTTATATTACATAATTAGACTGATCACGAAATTTAAAAAATATAAAGTAACTTTTAAAATTCTATTTAAAAAAAAACTTTACAGTAGTAATAGTTATATCATCATAATTTATTGATTTGATCCATTTTTTTCTTTTATTTTTGCCCAAATTTAACTTAATTTACCATTTTACCATCAACTAACCAGGCTGCCGTCAGTTATAGCCCCGATATTTTTCCCCTAGTCTCCCTGCCAAAAACCTTTTGGTCTTTCATTTTCGTTACAGCTCGAATGTCCATGGCTACACAATTATGTCCAAATCATGTAGTCCCATATACAAATTCTTCCATCTGTCGTCGAAATCGAACCACGATTCTTCCGATATTCAGGTCACTTCCGAGTCTTGATTTGGGTAAAAGGCGGGCCACAAGATTGTCAGTTCAATGCTGTGAGAAACAAACAGAGAATCTCCGGACGTGCAAGAATTGCAAGACCCAGTTCGACCCTTTGCTCAATCACCCTCGTGCTTGCCGTTACCACACTGCTCATTTTGGAGGTACCCCTTCTCTCACATCTGTACTAACATACTCCCTCCGTTTCAATTTTGACGATTATAGTTTGACTCGGCACCGAGTTAAAAAAAAATATTTTGAAACTCGTGGTCTTAAAAAGATTAAGAGTAAAAGTCTTGTGTGGCCATGTCATTTGTGCAGTTATAAAAGTTTCTCATAAGGTAAGATGTGTAAAATGAACCGTTTAAAGTTGAATTATTTCCAAATATAAAAATGTGTCATTTATTTTGGAACAGATTAAGAAGGAATGTAACTCATCTAATTTGAAATAGATGGAGTAGTTACTAATCTCTTAAAATAGGTAGATAAAACCTTTAATTTTGGTAATTCCTATAGGTAACTTAATTCTTCTATTTTATTAAGAATCAAATGTTCTAGTCTTTGGACATTATGGAATATGAAGAAAAAAAGTAAGTAGTATAACTGTTTCACTGCGCTTAGGAAAAAAAAGGGGGGNTCTAATTGTGGTCTATCTACAGGTTAAAGTACTATGTGATATAAACTCTATGTCTAAACTTTGTGTCAGGTCAAACTTATGTCTAATTAAAATGGACAAAGAGCGTGCAGGTAAGGATACATTGCGGTTTTGACTTTCTTTTAAGAGATACGCAATTGTTGTTTAGTGTAATTTACCCGATGTTGTTTTTATTAAAAGATGCCAACTCTCTGAACATGTTAAAAAAGTTGAGAATGTTTTAACTCACGATAGGATTTTCCATTAAAAGTGTGCTAGTTGAGCAGCATTGAGTCATACTTAAGCTTGCTAATAATGACCCCTCTTGTCCTTCCTTATCCTGCTTGAAGGGTCGTGGCAGCATTATCATTTTGGACAATTCGGCAGTACAATTAACATGGAGTGAAATTTTAGACTGAATGGGGGTCAAGCTTCTTTGAGTTGAAAATTTTATTTGGTAAAGGTAAAACTGTTATATTGAATTGGGTTTAGGCTTCTCGGAGTTGAAGCTGGTTCCATTCGGTAAAGGTGTTGGTGGCAAAAGGTTTGCCCTGATTTTCTTTTTATATACTTGTCATCAGTTTCTTTTTCTTTTTGTGGTCCACAATAGTAAGTAGATTTGTCAAGAGTCTCTTAAGTTTGATTAGAAATTGTATGGCATTGTAGGGAGAGATGTGAGATTTTGAGAATCTCCAACTATTCAATAGTAGAATGTAAAGGGTTCAAATGGAGCAGACGGATATAGAAGATTCATATAGCCGAGCGAAACTAGTCTGAGATTGATGTGTAGTGATTTTTGTTATTATTGAACAGCAACTAGTGTTGCCTTGCTTGTACAAACAAGAACTTTTCCACAAAATGAGTAGAGAGGAAAAGTAGTTCTATGCTTTTCCGCAAGAACTTTTCAATCAATCAGGTTACTTTTAGTTGCATGCTTTAAGAGCTCGTATAAAATGAGTATTTTTGGACTCGATTTTTAGTTACTTAATCTTAGAAATAAAGATTTAGCTGGAGTAGAGAGGAAAAGTAGAATCTCTCTCTCTATAAATGTATATAAGCTTGGGATAGGTCAGTTGGTTTTGGCTGGATGATATTTGTATCTTTCTTTTTTAAAATTACGGTGGTGTCTGGATCAACTTGTGCGGCACCTTGATTACAACTTGTTAAACCCACTAGCACAAGTTACCAAGGTAATCCTACCCATCAAAGTTGGAGCAAGTGTGTACACACCAAAGTGTTGTAGCTGAGATTCGAATATGAGATTTCCATGGCGTTAATCCCATGCCTCAACCACTAAGTCCTTCTGAGTGGATAAGGTGTTGATTTGCAAGAGTCACCCCTGGAAAGCATCAACTTTTAAAGACGAGGACCATGGTCGCAGTTCTAAAGACTATACATATATTTCAACCTTCTCGATATATCTACCAATTATCACTTCCTAAGCTAATATAACCTTCTTCTCTTGATGTAGGCCAAGCAAAATAGGAAAGGTGGAGCATTTAGATCTTAGTTAATGCAAGTTTATGTAATGATGAACCAATATCTCCCTGGTGTTGTATGATGTGAACGTCATGGCAAAGCTGCTCCGTTAAATAGAATAAATAACTCACAATAGCAATTTCTTTAGAAAGGAAAAAGCAAACCCCTTCTGCGGAATTTACCTTTGGCAAGACTAATTAAGTAATATATGTCAATTATGTGATTTCTCTTTCATATTCCCATTGCGTCTGCATTGCTTTTGAATGGAAGGTACTGGGAGTTTAGCAAGAATAAGAAAATATAGAAACATTATGTTCTCCCTTAAGCCCTTCTGCTTCTTTCTGCAGAAGGAAATAGCACCTTAACTCATCTTTGTTTTCCCTCGTGTTTGTTCGCGCAGGAGAAACAAGGAGGAAATTTGAGAGTGTTTATGCTGGTGGCACCATGGACACCCCTGACGGTGGTAAAGTTTTTCAATACTGGCATTGTTGTGGGTCTGAAGATCCATTTGACGCTGGCTGCACTGCTGCACCTCATGCTTCTTATGATGATTGATAACATTGATTCTCAAATGGGTATACTATAAATACTTGCTACTTAAAGCACTTTGGCCAATTCACAGGTGGAATCTCCTCTTGTATCTCTGTAATTTACTACAGTTGTTTTCTCATAATTGTACAGCATATTTTAATATTCTTTCCCTTGAAATTTGATGCATCTGATACAGTGAATTTCTTTTTCTCCTCCTGTGTGTTCATTTTGAACAGAAGTGTTATGCGTGAAGGATGAATGCATGAAAAATCTCTCGTTCGTAAGAATTCTCCGGATAACAGATTTTAAAAAATACTCATTTTGTAAAGGAGGTGCAATACTTGGTAGAATACATGAAAAATCTACCATTAGTTAGAAATTTGAATGCTATCCTAAAATACGCCCTTATTCATAGGGTAAATGAAGTGATTAATTTGTTATCCAACAAAAAATTGGAAATTATCCTTTTTCCATTACGTAGTGATTAATTTGTTAGTCCGAGTCATGGCAAATTAATGCTATAGTTTTGTGTAAACATTATTTGTGGATAAGTAGTATATTCAAAAGGTATTTGTTACCCTCAATTCTACGCTTGGAACCAAAATTTACAACGATTTGAGTATACGATTCGGGTATTGCTGATAGTATCCCAAGATAAACTATTCTGCTGCCAATATTAACACCATAATTAACGTGGTCCCTTGAAACCTTACAAAATTTAGTTATGACTTCTTTTTCTTTTGTTGACACACTCCTAAAAAAAGGTATCTATTGCTTTCTTCTTTCTTTGTTTAAATTTTTCGATTTACTTTCCCGTGATCACTAAGATAACTTCGTGGCATTAGCTGATGGCCCACGACCCCCTAGCCTAATTGTTCTAATTAGCTAGATAAACGGATCTGGTCATTGATTTTCTATA